CTTGTTAAGTGGACTAGTATCTCAAAAGAATGCAGAGGAATTCCTAGGAATGACATCAGTTACTGTTTTAGAGAAGTCATTAAATTGAAACTAGGAAAAAACTATCAGCGGTCGGTGTCACTTTTTTTCAAGCCGATTTGAATGGATGGTTAGGATTGTTCATGTCACGTCAAATGGTGTTTTATTTTTATCTTTTTTAAAAAAATATTTTTGAGTGGGCATTTGGGGCGTCTCATCTGCTTGTTGGGGCAAAGAAAAAACATAATATATATATATATATATAAGTAAAAAGTTTTCCCGACGCGGTGAAAATAAACAGTGATTTTTTCTACCTTCATCACCGTCCAAAGTTCATCGTACCGTTACGATTGTCAGGTAGTATTTTATTTTTCATTTTTTTTTACAAATCGAAATAACCTGAAATTTGGAGCGTGTGTACATATTAGTGAGTCGCATTTAATAAAAATAAAAAAACAAAACAATTTTTATAAAAAATTGACCAAAATACCCCAAAACATTTTAGAGGTATTTTGGTTAATATTTTTCATGTAAAATATTTTTTTGATATTTTTAGTAGATTCGCCTATTTTTTATGAACATACGTTTTAAATTTCAGGTCATTTCGATTTTTTAAAAAAAACTTAAAAATGAAAACTACTGGACATTCATGACCGTGAGTTGAACTTTGGACGGTGACAAAAATAGACAAAATCACTGTTCATTTTCGCCTATAGACGTTTTGTAGTAGCTTCCATTATACAAATATATATTGTACATAAATAAATGACCAAACTTAAATTTTGTTACAAAATGGTGTAATAGAATACGTATTAGAAATAAAATACCCATAGTTAATAGGATCAAGCGGTGACACTTGAGAGTTTTGTGACATTGCGACTCAAGCCATCACATCCATCAACTCAGATCTAACAGCTGAGAGCAAGGATCGCACATACTTTATACGTAGGTGGGTCACCTGTAAAGCGTTGTCTTTACAAAATGTTTTATGCTAACACTCAAAAAAAGAAAGAAAAAGGAAGTGAATTGTGGCCCTACTTTAGTATATAATATTTTGGCATAACTCAAAATCCATACACTTATGGGTAGTTTTTGAGATAAAATAACCACACCTGCGGTTTTAGCAAGTTAGCATGTAACTAGGGTTGGCGATTGGCTTGGATCCAGCATGTGACTAGGGTTGGTAATGCACTATAGGTAGAGAGACCTTGGATTGGAACCATCTAAAGCTAGGGCTGGCAATGGGTCGAGTTTGGCCCGGACCAAAAAAATATATTATGGGACTCGGACCCGAAGTCACCGGACCCAAACCCCGACTCAGATTCGAAAATATAATGTGGTTCCTGGACTTGACCAAAAAAGTAAAATATCTATGTACTTAAATATATTTATATAAAATTGAGAAATGTGAGACCCAGACCTAGACCCAAATAGTGTTAGGGTCAAAGATTTGGGCCGAACCCGATCCGTCGGGTCCAATTTTTGGACCCAAACCCAGACCTAGGTCGGGTCTAGCCGTCGGGTCTAGGTCCATTGCCACTCCTATCTAAAGTTTAGGATTGGTATCTTATACTGTAAAATAGTACGTTTTATGCATAGAAGTCATAAACAACCCAAGCCATCAGAGCTTTTTTTGAACGGTATATAAAATAAGACAGTTGGGGTGCCTTATTTCCCATCCAAAGTTTTATGAATCGTTTTTTTTGGATTTTTACTGCAGTCAATGGTAAAACTTAGCTGCCCGATTTCACAATGAGGCTAAGTGTCAATTATACACCACAATTGCCTGATTTCATTCCTGGTGGTTGAGGTTGATAAAGGTTTGTCTTGTGTTCACTTCCTAGAAAAATTCTCTGAGGAAAATTTCGTTGATGTAGACTGAACTCGG